GAAAGAATTAAGAATTTCAATGTTTAATATTTGAATGCATTGGATATAAAGCATCGTGTACTAAAAGGACCGCTCTTGTTGTTTAGTTCGGCATTAATGAACTCGTCGGTAAAATTGCAATCGATTTTCTGTTCCAATGTGAATTCGTACCAGATGTCAAAACGTACATTATTTTAAACGATAACATTCGTATCGATGGACTCCGTTTTCAATTAACGAGAATACATCGATACAGAGTATATCAATTTATAAAAACGAACGAATCGAGTTAACTGCACGGAGTAAAATTCGTGAAATCGAGGGGTTAATTTTCTCAAGTTTTTCACGACGCAACGCTTCCGGCGAAAGGTGAATCGTTACGGTGCATCGTTTGCTTCTACGCGGAGTCGGTTCTGTCGATCGTTTTTTCATTTGGTTTCTTTCGCGAGTAATAAAAAAAAGCAAAAGGAAAAACAGAAAAAAGGAAGGTAGGAGGGAGACCGAAGGGAGTCGAAGCACAGGGTTGTCGACTGCCACACGCCTTCTACTTTCGCAGCGTAGCGACAATTACGCTGTCGCGCAGCTCCCCTGCGCAAGCGCCGCGCTCTTTCGTTCGTTGAACCGTTCGCGAGAGGAAAGCCTGTGTACGCGCGAGAAAGATAAAAGAAAAATACAAACGCGAGAGACGAAGGAAGGAGACGAGAGAGCGAGAGAGAACGGGAGAGACTCGTAGACAATACCGCGCCAATTCCGCGAGCAGCGCCACCGATGCGGGACTTTCCACTATTCGAATCGGAGACGGGTGAAATTCTTATCTAGATAAACATTTCGAGTAACGAACGGATCGCGAACAAACGCAAACATTACTTTTTTAGTCGGACTTGAAATCTGAGCGATCCGCAACAATTCAGAACATGGGAATATCGATTTTGTTATTTTTATTACTTAATAACACAGAGAATTGTTACTGGTCTTGTGGTATTTTTAAGGTGTTGGAATTTTTATTTAGATTTACGTTTCGACTCTTATCGCGAGTCTTCGATAAAACGACAAGAAGTTTAACTCGACTTCGATTAATTAGATAAATAATTACATACGTGGTCTTCTGATCACGGTCGATAAACCGTGGACTTTATTCATGTACGGACGCGGTTCTCAAGGGGTGAACGTTCACGAATTTCGATTATATCAATAGTCGATCCCTCTCGGCGTTCGTAGAATCGATCCTGGAACTACGAAGGCGTTCAAGGTTGATCCGCAGCCTTCGGGCATGTCGTTTTCCAAGAGAATCTCTCGCCTCGGTGACAGCGCATCCTGTCACGGAATTTCGTTTCTGGATCATCGGGACTTCCGATGCAAATCTGCTACTAAAGCGCGGTAGGGTAATGATAAGAATGATATAGTCGTTTGCTTTATATCCGCTTATGTAACGACGGAAACCTGTTTTGTATACGATCTACGTCAGTGGTTTTCACGGTATTGTAAATTTCTCTGTATCGTGTCAACATTGGAGCAGGAACGAATTTAATCCGGGTACGTTTCGATCGTGTAATCAAATGTAGAAGAATCGTACAAAAATTGAAAACAAATAAACAAACGCATCGTATTTGGTTATTTCTGGAAACGGTTTATGCGGATAACGTCTCGAAGACAACGTTTCGGGGAGGCTGGTCAATCGTTGGAGTCGACGGTGATACGTGGCGATTCTACGCAGTTACCCGCCGATCTTCCGTTTCCCCGTTTGTAAGCAAACACTCTCGAATTGGAGGTTGAGAGTCTTAGAATTCTGCGCAAGGAATGATACGCTCGCGACGTAACCGTAGCTAGCTTTCCACCGATCGTGCTCGATAATCGTCGACCGTTCGCGAGCAAGTGTAACGAGGTTAATTTAAATAACTGGACGTCTAGTCACCGAGTCACGAGTGTTTCACGTGCTTAATTGTTTTTCGGTCGCTTCGTCGTCGTTCTAATTAATTACCTTCAAAGAGAATAGCGTACTATACAAATTTGTTATTTTATTAACCGACTTCGAAAGGAGGAGGGTACTCAATTCGACATGTATTTTTTTTTTCTGCAAATGTTATAACACGAACTTTACTTTCAATCTGTTTTATATGCTTACATATTGTTTGCATTTCGTAGGTTCTTGCCTTCTTGCACATTCGAATTTCCTATAAATGCATAAAGACATGCATAACACGTTCGTACGTGAACGTGTTAACATTTATTTCTTTAATTAAAAATAGTAAAATACAGAGTTGTCGGCGTCGAAGAACGCGACAGCAACCCTTCACGCTTCCTATGAATCGTAAGGCGTCCTCTAAACCGAAAGACGTAGGTTCAGCGGGTCCTACCATTTCACGAATGCCAAACACTGACCGGAATATAATTCCGTTACGGGAATTTCGTTGAAAATGTCGTTTAGCTGGTTTTCGATTCTCCGTGATTCAATTGGGGGACCACGAGACAAGCTCGTAACACGAAGCGAGTTGTAAATACCTTTCGTTAATAATTTTACTCGCTCGCGTACGCGTAGGCGTAGTCGACGCTGCCCACTCGCCTCGGCGCGCAAGTGTGCGCGGAAAATAGAATTACTCTAGAAAGGCCGCAGAATTTCACCGACGAGTAATCAATGACTCGCTCTCGCTCAGGGAATCTCGTTCCCGTGGTCGACGCGATTCTCTTCGTTTCTCTTCCGATTGCTTTCCGTTTGGGTCGCGATAAATGCCGACCGATTGAAGCGTTCGCACGGTCCTAGTTTCGGGAAAAGCTCGAAAATAGCCGAAGATTGATCGACCGGTTTGTATTCCGGCTTCGATCGGTCATTGAGAACCGCTGGTTACGTTTCGTAGCCCCTAGTACACCGTATTACACATTCACGAACACGTACAACGCACACGCCCACGTACCAAGTACGCGCGTACTCTTCGTCATCGCGACGGTGTGGGTGGAACCGAGCGGAGTCGAACGCGGCCGAGCAACGTCCCCGAGCGGAATCGTCATCGACGCGGGGTCGCTACGGCTCCGAACTCCGCTCACTCTGCTCCGAGCTGTCGAACGCGACGCACGCGCCTCCGCTTCGCTTTCTCTTCTCTCTGCCGACGAGTACTCTTCTTCGCTCGGAAGGCATTCTTTTCCCTCGCTTTCTCGCATAATCGTCGAAGCACTGGGATTCAGTCTTGTCGCGATCGTCCAGCTCGTCTCGCTGCGACGCGAGGCCAACTATTCTTCTCGAATTTTCTCGCGCCACGTTTCGGATTTTTCGCCCGTGAGACCGGCCCGGCCTCCTGCTCTTCTTCTCGCACCGATCGCTCTTAGGACGCTCCGTGTTCAATCTCGCACGGCCGACTTCGATCTTCGCGTCGTGGACCAGTTAAATCGTTGCCAGTTCTGCGAACATCGATCACCAAAGTCTTTGTCTCGCGAGGCTTGTGCGAGGGAAACCCCATCCGTGGCCTCTTATTGCTTTGCGATCTTCGGTCGGGGAGAGCAGCTAAATCGTTCTCAGTTCGGCGTACATCGATCTCTAGACCCGTTTGCCATTGTTCCGCGCGAAGGGACTTCGGTTCATGGCTGTTCGCAAACGCGTTCCTCGAACGAGCTCGTAACTTTGGAGCGTCGTTAACGTCGCAGAGTCGTTCCCTCGAAGGAAGCCCGAACTCGTTCGCGTGGCTCGAGGTGGGCCCCAAGGAATTGTTGCATGTTGTGCGGCACGGGGCCCGTGCGGTTGTCCTCGATGGAGGACGCCGTTCGCTCTACGGTACTCAGGGACGGGCGCGTTCGCGAGCAGAATGGAGACAGCTGGCGTTGCGAGACGACTTAAAGCCTCTGGGATAAGAGATCGTCGAGGTTCGAGGGCCTCGTGTTCGGAGATTCGGGCTTCGCGAGAGGACCGTGTGGTGCGGACGGTGGTGAAGGGAGCTGAAGAACGTGCGCCTCGAAGGTAACGGGACAAGAGAACGTAATCCGGAGACGAAAAGAAAACTTAATAACAACGATAGGCTGGAACGGAGAATTTTATTTACTTATTTATTTTCGATAATAACTTGAAAATCGGTTAACCGAAGACGAGGGCCCTTTCGCACTTGACTGGTCGTCGAGTTCTCCGGGGTATATAAAGGGTACAAGGTGCGCATGGTAACCGAAGGCAGACAGAAACCTCTCCCCCTCCCTTCCCGCTCCGTACCCCCTTCTCCGTCCGTTCCTGCCAGCTTTGAATCAATAATCTCCGGCCAGGATTATATGCCGGACCCTTTTATTATGGTGGCGCGATAAGAAAGTCATCGACGGGTCCCGGGGGACCCTACGAGACCATCCTAAACGATCCGATTCGTTGGGACGATCCGAAGACGCCGTCTTCCGGCGACTTGCTCGCGTATCCGTTCTAGCGTCGATGGTGTGCGTTCCAGCCGTGTCTTTCTTCGTTCACCGACGCGCGGTATCAGCGCGCGGATTATTGATCCCTCCATCCTCTTCTCCGTCCCTTTGCTTATGATATTTCGAGGAAAAGAGGCAATGCGGAGAATGTGATTACCTTGAAACACGCGGAAGGGTGGGGGTTTCGGGGCGACGAATGTAACGCGGATAGCTACTCAACGAAACGACGCGACCATACGAACCGTTTGTCGTGGGACTAGGCCCCGCTGTGATACCTTTGTTTTCGTTTCTTTTCTTTTTTTACTCCGATTCGAAGGGTATATCAGTCTTGACTCGCGTTATTATTTTTGGCATGCTTGACAGGATAATGCTTGTTGACAAGCTTCGCGATGCTTGCCAAGGCTATTATCGTGTCAAGCATATTTTTATAAACAGGACTTTACTCAAATTATTATGATTTATGTTCTTTCGTTCCGCCGATAACAACGATAAACTCGAGAAGTTCGTTGGAATGTTCAGAGTGTATCGTTACAGCGAACATCAGTTAGTTAGTAATATTTTCGTGCACGTATTCATCTTTTCATTTACAGTTTTCAAGTTTGTCTTCCATCCCGTCTAACGAAGCCGTTTTTTCTCGATCGCAGATTAAACGCTCCAGATGGAATCGCCTTCGGCCCAAGAGGATTCCAGCTCGATAGAATCGCGGGGAACGGTGGTCGCGTCGCCGACGTCGTTCAAGACGGAGATCGAACGCACGAAGGCCGGCAGTGACGCCGGGGACGCGCGCGACGCCGCTGGTCAGGCCGACGACGTCGAGGGATTCGTCGACGTAGCGTCGCGCGAGGCTTCGTCCGAGGTCTCCGACGACGCTTCGACGGAATGCCAGTCGCGGGATCGGGACACGTGCCCCAGGTCGTGGAAGGATCGGGACGAAACCGAAGACGCGAAAGTAGAACTCGAATCGAACGAGCCGGTCGGCCGGAGCGACTGTTGCGAAGGAGCCTCGCCGGTGAAATATTTGAACAAAGAGGAGGGTATCGCCGTCAGTTCGACGCCGGTGTCCAGAAAGAGGCCGGCGAGCGATTTCCTGCCCATCAACGCGGAGATCAAGCGAATCGGCGTGGAGATCCCCGAGAACGAAGCCAACCAATTGCGCAGCGACGTGAGGAGGATCTCCCCGGTGCTGGTGAGCCTTCGAGAGCGTACCCTGGGAGAGATATCTCTCTCCTCGGACTCGTGCATCTTCGACGACGACTCCAGCGGTCGGTGTATATCTAGAAACAGCCGAATCTTCGACGGCACCCCGAGCCCCTGCAGGATAACAACGAACGGTAGCCTCGATGGTTGCGTGCGAATCAGCCACGATCCCGTGGCACCAGACTCCGAGGCGGCGCACTGTGAACGCGCTACCAGCGCAGGGGACGCGGTGGGTTGTCGCAGGAACTTCGAGTACTCCGATGCGTACATCGACGAGGACTCGTGTTGTTCGCTGCTCCGCGACAGCCCCGACAGGGAGCACCCTCCGTGCCAGGAGAAACAGTGCGAGGAGCCGGTGGAAGCGTGCGCGTGCGACGACAGTGAGTCCGCGGACGACGCCTGCATGACGGGGAAGAACTCCAAGCAGTCGCCCGAGCGAGCGGAATCGCCGAGCGGATTGACGCCGGACAGAAAGGACAAGAAGAGTTCCAGCGCTAAGAAGAAACAAAAGAAGAACGTCGCGGACGATGCTCGCGGCGCGGACACGACGTCCGACTCCGAGGAACCGACGGAGTCGTGTTTTGTTCAAAGGTGCGCTCAGGAGGGTACGAATGTCCAGGAGACCGAGCTCGAGGACCATTCGAAGAAACAGGTGGGCTCTCCCGTAGCAACTAGGTTGACAACGCTGTCCGTCGAAGAGCATACTGTAAAAGATTGCAAAGTGATGCTGGAGAGGGTGGCCTCGCCGTGTCCAGCGAATACCACGCCGATGAAGGTTCTCGAAGACGAAGGAACATGTGCTACACCCGTTGCGAAGCTCCTGGGGGTGGACGAGGAAGTCGTTCGCGCTTTTTCGTCGACCTCCACGGGGAATCTACCACTGGATAACTTAGACTATCAATCTAGGCTCGAAGACTCGACGCTATCCGAGCTCGAACCTCCACCGAAGGAGTCGTGTTCGATTCAAAGGTGCGCTACCAACGTCCAAAAGACTGAGCTAGAAGACCACTCGAGTAAACAAGAGGAACCTCCTGTTACACCCACACCGAAAACGCCTTCTCTAGAGGAACAGTCGCTGTCGTCGAATGCTACGAAACTGTGCACGGTGATGCTAACGAGGATCAGTCCGGCACCTGTAAGAACTGTACCGGATATGTGTGTCAAAGATGAACATCCACTTCCTGCATCCACAACTGTTGCAAAGAACCTAGAGAACGACGAGGAAGACTTTTCTGCCACCTCGTCGTTACCCCCCACGAACACCCCACAGTCGGACAGCGTCGACCCACTAGATACATCTGGTACACCCGAGAAGACAGAACCATCCACTGATCACGATCCAACAGAGTCCTTATTGGTCCAAAGGTGCGCTAACGAGAATGTCCAGAAGACTGATCCGCAGGACCACTCGGAGAAACAGGTGGACAGACCGAACACTCCCGTCGACGTACACTCACCGTCGTCGTACGCTGTAAAAAAGTGCACGGTGATGTTGGCGAAGGTAACGTCGCCGTCTCCGGTGAAAACTGTTTCAGAGAATGTTGTCAGCGACGATGTAGTATCCAGAGCCGTTATAAAGAATCTTGAAGAGGACGGGAAAGTCTTCTTGTCCTCAGCCTCGCTTTCCACGGAGAGTCTACCATCGAATAGCCTAGATTCATCGAAGGTGCCGCTCTCTACACCCGAAGACACGGAACCATCCGACCAGAAAGATCCACCGAAGGAGACGTGCTTCGTTAAAAGGTGCACCCACGATGTCGAAAAGACTGAATCAGAAGACCATTTGAAGAAACAATCGGTGTCTCCCATGGTAACCAGGTCGAAGGTGCTGCCCGATGAAGCGCAGCAGTCGTCGTCGGGTCCTGTAAAGGAATGCAAAGTTATTCTGGCAAGGGTGTCGCCGAAACCGGTAAAAACGGTGGTGGAGAAGCTGGTAAAGGACGAGACTGCGTCCAGAGCTGTTATAAAGAGTTTGGGAGAGAACGAGGAAGTCGTGTTCACCTCGTCGTCGCCTTCAACCGAGAATGCACCGCCGTTGAACAATCCAGTCTCGTCCGAGGCGATACCAGGTTCGCCGGAGTTGCTGGAACCTTCCGCGGAGGTTCCAGAAGCCGTGGACACCGAAACGGAAACGGAAACTGGCTCCGACAGCTCCGAGGTGTCCGTGACGAACGCACGGCTCCGTGGCTGCGACGACGACGCCGTTTCCGACCAAATCTCCTGCCCGGAGAGCGAGTCCATGTGCTGCATCGACATCCATCCGGAGATCATAACCAGGCTGGAAGCGGAGAGACCCGAAGCCTTCACGGAAGATTCTGCCGAGAGTCTCGCGCTTGCCACCGGTGCTAGGGACGAGGTCAGGTCGGATGGAAGCGACTCTGGGATGGGGAGCGAGATCCCTGGCGATCCTGGACCTGCGCCAGCTCCTGAGAGCGACTCCGAGACGTCTTTCTTGGATAGGATACCGGATGACATTCTGTCCGACAAAGAGAAAGGTGAATATTGCTCCTGTACGAATTTATGTGTCGTCTGAATGCGATACAACAAAGTCACGTGGCATTGTTTTACAGTCGTGAATCAACTGGACTCCTTCGCACCCACCGTTGCTGCTCCAGATACGCCGCAGACACCGCTGGCGACCTTCCCCAGTCCATCGAAGAGCAATTTAAAAAGGAGATTGACGGATTGCATGGAGGGTGCTCCCACTCCGAAAAGAAGCAACACTGAGGAATCCGTGAAAAAGAAACGGAATATTCAGTTCGACGCCGTCACCGTGTACTATTTTCCCAGGGCGCAGGGCTTCACTTGTGTGCCTTCTCAGGTGAGCACACGAATCTTTTCTTTGCAACTCCATTACGAACTGAACCTTGCTAAAAACTATTAGCTAAACTGGCATATGAAAGTTTCAGTTTCCTTCATTCTTTGTTCATCTTCCCTTTTAACACGTTGATCACGTATTTCTGAATGTTAAGTATAGGCAAAAATAAATAAATGTTCGATCACGTAGTTTCCAATAGTCTAGAGACGGACCTTAAACACAGTAGGAATTATTAAGAATATTAATTCGGCGGTCAAAGTGTTAACGGGGTTCTCAAATTCTGTGTTGTCTTGCCCCACCTCCTTTTGTATAAATATTATATCATCGTTACGTTATCGAGTAGGTAAAATATGGTGTACTAAATCGATCGATCTTTCTGTTTAGGGCGGCAGCACTCTGGGTATGAGTGCGACGCACACCCACGCCGAGAGGTTCTCACTGTCGGAGCACGCTACCGAGCAGAGGCGAATCCATCGCGCTAGGTTGGCGCAGCTGCGTTCCGAGCGCGCTGCGAATTGCGTGGTCGAGGCTGCGTCTAGTTCGGAGGACCCCAGCGACGACACGGACGAGGAGCAAAGCGATACGGAGGAGCTGGACATCGATAGTTATTACTTCCTGCAGCCTGTGCCTACGTGGCAGAGACGAGCCTTACTTAGAGCAGCGGGAGTACGTAGAATAGACGCCGTCGAGAAGGACGAGTGCCGCGACATTAGAGCCAGCAGAGAGCATTGCGGTTGTGGGTGTAAAGGGTACTGCGATCCTGAGAGCTGTCCTTGCAGTCGAGCCAACGTTAAGTGTCAGGTTGGTAGACTAATTGTTCGGAACGTCAACGTCAAGCTCCTGTTTAGGCGGAATAGGATACTTTGCACACCTTTTTTCTTTTTATACATTCTTTTATCAATGATTATAAATATTGCGGACAGACATTTTGGTTCCATCCCCTGGCGATGTCACGTGTCACGATTCGCGCCCCTCGCATCGCCCTGGTGACGCCACTGACCTACAGACGTGAATGTTTTACGATGAATTTTACGAGAATCTAAATATACGCGGTAATCAGAGGTTCTCAACACGCGGTTCTCAACCAGTTAACATAATATTCCTTTCGACTGCTTACCGTAATTACGTCAACCAACGTTGAAACACAAATTATGAACGGGGATTCTGGTCGTTATTTTTCAGGTCGACCGAGCGGGCTTCCCATGCGGATGTACGCGCGACGGTTGCGCCAACAGTTCCGGCAGGATCGAATTCAATCCGGTCCGGGTACGGACGCATTTTATTCACACGCTGATGCGGCTAGAGCTTGAGAAAAAGCAACGGGATGAGGAAGGTACGGATCATGACGTTTCCGACAATCAGAACGGCAGAAGTCCCTTAAGGGAAATCAATTTAGGATCCGTAATGGAGAACAGAAACGCGGAGTGCCTGAGCGGGGGCGGTTTCACGACGTTGCATTACGAGAATCACGACGCTGCCGACGGCGGGACGAATTGTCAGCCAGAGATACCTGGCACAAGAGAAGATAGCTTGGATCTGTACGCTATCAGGGACGATTGCTATCCGAGCGAGGATACTGTTGACGGTACGCAAGGACCTCAAAGGAAACTTCATCCTGAGTTTAGTCAAGCTTTTCAAACGTTCTCGAGCCAAACGAATGCCGGAGTGAACTTCCAACAGCCTCCTTATCAGGACTACCAACCTTACGCTAACCTTCCTTCCACATCTAGGGTGCAATTCCAGCCACAGTTTCAAGCGGTGCCAGGAAATCCCGGGTTCTCGCATTACGCGCCTTACGGTCAAGACAGCGGATCGATTCAGGGAAACTGCCAGGTTCACCCCGGGCAGCATTCATCCGGTTACGAAGCTAGCTTCGCCCAGGACGAAACGACCGGATCGCAGTACACAAATTTGAACTCTGTGCAACCTATGAACGCTGTCCAGCAGATGGGCAAACTGGAACCGTTCTCGGAACTTCTGTCCGGTAGATACTCGTACTACGGCGAAATGGAACCACAGGCGCACGGTACTTACCACGGAAACGGTGCGAAGGTCGAGGTGGAAAAGAGCCAAGGTAACGAACAACAATCCGAAAGTACGGAAGAGTGCGACGAGAACTTTGGGGAGATCATTAAGAAGTCGATGGTCGAGACTGTATCCGCCTAGGTCGAACTGTAGATACGAAGAATCGTCTGCGCGCGCGTCGAAATGTTTTTTGACGCGTGGCGATTCGATAACGAAAAAATAGAGTAATTTCGACGAGTCTTTGGTGCCGTATCGAAAACCTCGCGAACGAGACGAACGATGTTTGGGAGGGTGGGAGGGATGGCGGGGGGACGAGGAGGTGCCGAAACTCCGATCAGTTGTCCTTCCGTGAGTTAGATAAATCCGAGTATATTGTTTACGTAATTCTCGAGAGGAGTTAAAAGTTCTCGTCGGGTATCACTCGCGGTTAACTATGACGAGTCCCGTGGATGTCGTTAGAAAAATTACGCGGCTACGTGTGCGTCCGCCCGGGATGGAAACGCGAGACGTCGTCCTTGTCCGTTCATAGAAAAATATTGTTGATTACTCAATCGTACGGACCGACGAGGCGACGTTCTCGGTGTACTGTGACGAGAATCCGGGGCCGCCAATTCGGCGATGGATTTTCCGGGAGGGGGGAAGGTCTTCGTCGAAAATCTTCATGAACGATCTCCTTGAAACGGCAAGGATTCATTAACGGAGTTACAGAAGAAATTCAACGAGGTTGTGACCAAGAAACAACATGGGATCAGCTTAGATTGCAGTTTATAATACCTTAACTTTAATACTTTAATCGTAGGATCGCGGGTTGCGCGTCTTTTTAAAAAGAAATAATAATAATGATAATAAAAAAGAAAAAAAGAAAGAAAGAAGAAGAAATAAATAAAACAATTTTCGTATTCGTGCGACAGCTGCAACAAGCGCAATCGTTGTGCGTTTGGAGGGATGGCATACGATCATATATACACGGAAACACACATATTTGTACACAACCACGAAATGTGAGCGATTGTGATAACTTTGTGCATGTGAAAATGCAGTTTGCCAGGCTAATTAGGTTAAGGATTAAATTATGGGACTTTTTTATGCCAGTTAGTAGGAGATCGAGTTCGAATGGTTTTTCAATCAACGGCTGACGGTAAACGACGATAGAGAATAGATTTTCATCGTCTTGTAACTAATGGACACAGTGAATGCACAACGCATGGCGAATACATACACGTTTATAGTGCGAGAGAATTATGGTTGTCTGGCATAAGCAAGCGCACGCTGTCTACAGAACACGTAATGTTAAGCCCTCGTATATTTTTTGTTTTTGTTTGTTTTCATTCGTTTACACAGCACCTTGAAATTGCCGAGAACCGTTTGGTATCACGCACACGTATAAAGATAAGGACTCGAAGAGTCTTCGATGGGAATAATAAGGTTGTGTGTGTGTGTGTGTGTGTGTGCGTGCGCGCGTGTGTGTGCGTGTGTGTGCGCGTGCGTCTTCTTTTTTATATCAGAGAGTCCACACGCTCGAACGGTCAACGGCTCAATTTTATTCCTCAATCGCAATTTCAAGGTAAACTTCGAAATAAAAAAAGAAAAAAAAAAAAGAAAAACAAATGAAGAAGAAGGAAACCCGCGCGAATTTCTTTCTTTTGTTACTGAATGACGAAGTCTGACGGCAAGGTTGCCTTACGCGGACGTTCTTTTGCACACCCATCGTTATTCACCTTGTAGATTTTCAGACACAGACCTTTAGCATCCCGGGACGTTGATCGCTATACCCCACGATTAATTGAAATATTACACGTAAGGAAACAATGATACTGACGATAGTATTAAATTTATACATACTTACCGGACGTGTCAGCTCCCGAGCACCTTTGACGGTCTTCTATTTCCGTGTTTTACACTGTGTTCATCGTCGCTGATTGGTGCCTAAATCGTTACGTTTGTTGTCAGTGTACACGATAAACGTAATCTCATGTTTCGAAAATAGAAGAGACGAAAGGGAAGCGTAGGTACAGATAATTGGATACGTTGCGAGGGACGTGACACCTCCTTACGACATTAAAAATATACTATAAACTACACGCATGTAAGTAACTTTTAGAGTATTTGAGTAAAAAAAAAGGCATACATAGTTGATAGCGTTTTATTAAATGTTGTGAAAAAGTCTCTTCTTTGTCGTGTAATGTGTTGTCTCATTGTGTGTATGTCTTTTCACAATTTTGTTTCATTTCCTTACGTTTAGGCCGATAATACCACGATCCCGTACCATCATTCATTTTTTTCCATCGTCGTTACGTCGGACGTTGCTCAACATAAAACTTAATCGTGTTCGTCGTGCTACTTTCCAACTTTCCTGGTATTTTCCATTCCATACCATACGATCCTGTCGCATCAATAATTCGAACTATAACTGTACGTCTCCCGTCGGAAGTGACTTCCGCACAAGCGCATTCCCTCCGTTAATTAACCCTCTGTACTTATTTAATATTACGTTTCAACGTAACTACGATTAACTGGCGTGCGTCGATATCCATACGAAATCGTTGGAAAGCAAATTATTTTGTTGCGTTGTTTGGCACCGAAAAGTGCAAAATTAAAAGGGTCAGGATTATGAATTACTGCTTAGCAATTTAATGCAAAAGTAGCCGAGAATTAGTTCCGTATCACTTTCTATTAATGACAATTACTATAATTTAATGTAAGACTGAAAGATCAGCGAGCTTCCACAGGAAGGTCGAGATAAAGAAATTTTTAGTTCGAATTGGCACTGACTCGCTAATAAGTAATTGATATTCCTGATTGCTTTAATCTTCAATGGCGTACGTTAAAAGAAAAGCGTGATTCAGTAGTTGTAAAAAGCATTTAAAGCTATATCGTTTCCCTTTTATAACGGTAATACAAACGTTTCATTAAATCGCCGTACGAATTTCCCTCACGCGACGAATACGCGCGCACGCATCCGTCGAATTACAAAATGGCGCCCGTAGCGGGAATCCTGCGCGCGTTGCCGCGCTGTTTATATACAGTATTTTCAAATTCGCGTACCAAAATTCGAAAACACCGCTCGCTTGGACAACCGACCTTCGCTACACGGAAAGCAATAATTTATGCAACGTTACGGACGGGTAAGATAATTTGTTCGTAAAGGTATGGATTCCCCCTTAATATTCGTACGTCAGGGAGTGGGGATAACGCAGTGACGTATCTAGGTTCATTGGGGCCTGGAGCTATCGAGGGTGCCTTTCCTGGAATCTTTTATAACAGCTCTTTGGTAAACGATTTACTTTGGTATAACAATTGGACACTCAAACAGAGTAACCCGAGAATATTCTGAAATAACTATTACGTGTAGTATCACATGTACAGTTTTGCGTGGGGGAAAACTCCAGACAAAAAAATTTTATCGCTCGATGCAATGATTCTAGAATAAAACGAAGGAAAGATTAGTTTACTTAAACGAATCACGATTTCGTGAAGAAGAACGGATACTTTGCTTGCATCCTCCGAATAATAAACGAAATCTTTCAGGGATTATACCGCGTAGAAGCTAGTTAATTGCTAGCTCCGCCCCTGGTAGGGGGAGGCAAATGGAGGGGGCACGGCATTAGCAAGCTGTTGAGTCGAGTGCTGCTGGAAGTTAGCGCCTGTCCGTGAGTCCGTGCGGAGGTTAGTTTACATCGCTGCGTGAAAATTTACCATTCGATCGTTCTTTTCCCCTAAAAATCGCGAAAAAGAGGGCGCCAAGATAAACTCGCGCGGCGTGCAGTGCGAACGTAATCGAAAATTCCGCGTACGAGTTTCGTGAGAACGGGCGATAGACGACGGCGTGCCAGTGTCGTTGACGTTTCGTGTGTCAGTGTCCTCTCCCTCTCTCTTACGCGTTCGTCCTTTCTCGTGTTTGGCGTCCTTTTCCGTTCCCGGTCCCTCCACCGCGTCGCCGTCGGTGCCACAGGCCGCGTCCCGTCGTTGCTGCAATGCCAGATGACAGGTGCGAGGCGGTACCACCGGTGTCTGCTAACGAGTCCTTGGAGTGTCCTGCGGATTTAGGATACGCTGCAGAATGACGAGCCCAAGGTTTTTCTACCGGAAGGGCGGCGAAGAGGATCGAAGACGACGACCACGACGAAGATCTCGAATTCCCTCGCGCTAGCGGTGGGCTATGAGCGCTGACAATGGGGACGACTCCTTGGTAATTATCATACCTTTCTCTTTTTTATTGCTCTCTCTTCGGGCCGTTTCTCTGTCTGTTTCGCGTCTGTAACGCGGCCGAATCGGACGCGGGTTGACAGCGCGCGAGCACCGCGGAAATTAATCGCGAATTTGAAAACTCTTCTTGCTGATGCAACCGCGTCGCGGACGGAATAACCATCCGGTTACCATCCCCCGTGTCACGTGACACCTTTTCAGAGACGAGCGATCCTAGGGAACGGCCGCTTTTCTTTTCGCGCTCGAATTCGTCGGGTTCGAGAAGCATCGAATGCCTGGAGAAATACGTACTTATAGAGCTAACGTTTCGGCCAATTATTGGCTTCCTTCCGAGGGGCGGGGGGGGGGGGGG